ACACATTTTCATCAATTGGGAGTGTCCAAATTTCCATCTCTGATGGGAGGAATCCCTCAGATAGCAATGGCAAGCAATTCTGCTGAATTTCCTGAAGGATTGAAAACTGAACAGACACTTGCTGCAATGAATCTACTGGATCTTTTTCCAAACCTGCAATTGTACATGTGTTATGCAGCCCAGGGCATTCTGCTCTTTCTGGCTGCTCTTGTGATTCTTTTGTGGTTTATTGACAGAACTGTAGCCATAATCAACCGTATCATTACCAGCCTGGTGATCCTAGGGATGATGATACTGTTCTCTATGGGGGCACTGTATGTGTACAGTTACACTGCAGGTCCTAGTGGTACAACTCCTAAAGTGAATGGAACGGTCCATGTTGGTAACAGCAATAGCTGGTTCAATTTTACCTCTCCATTTTCTTTCAAGCTGAATCTCCCAGCTCTTGATCATTGTTGCAGTGGGCATGTTTTTGCTGAATGTTTATAATGTATTGTGGATGCGTAGGGCAAGATGCTGTTCTACTCACTGCCACTCCCTGTCCCCAGAATGAGGGCTGCCCAAGAGCTAAGCAGCTCAGCAGTGACCCTGAGAAGAAAGGCCTGGGCATTCGAGGAGTGTCCCACGAGCCAGTGGTGTGTGCTCAAAGTTCTAAGGCCAGTTGCAAATAGGGCAGCATAGCGACTGCATCATTGGGAAGAGCCAGGGATGTCACCTCCATAGACTTGTGTGAGGCCCTTGACGTGGTCCCTCAAAACATCCTTCTCTCTGACCTGGAGAGAGGAGGATTGGATGTGTGGGCTGCTCAGTGGATGAGGAATGGGTTAGATGGTCAGATCCAGAGGGCAGTGGTGAATGGCTCAGTGTCCAGATGGAGATGGTGACAAGTGTCCCTCAGGGGTCCGTACTGGGACCAGTCCTGTTTAATATCTGTATCAATGACACAGAGAGCTGAGTGGTGCAAGTGACATGGCTGGGGGACAGGATGCCATGCAGAGCAGCTAATTTGGGTTCCTGGACAGCCAAGGACTCAGAGCAAGTGTTAGAAACTGGCCATACATCCCATTGAAGGCTCTACTGCCCCATTGTGATGTCATGGCCATACATCCCATTGAAGGCTCTACTGCCCCATTGTGATGTCATGGCCATACATCCCATTGAAGGCTCTACTGCCCCATTGTGATGTCATGGCCATACATCCCATTGAAGGCTCTACTGCCCCATTGTGATGTCATGGCCATACATCCCATTGAAGGCTCTACTGCCCCATTGTGATGTCATGGCCATACATCCCATTGAAGGCTCTACTGCCCCATTGTGATGTCATGGCCATACATCCCATTGAAGGCTCTACTGCCCCATTGTGATGTCATGGCCATACATCCCATTGAAGGCTCTACTGCCCCATTGTGATGTCATGGCCATACATCCCATTGAAGGCTCTACTGCCCCATTGTGATGTCATGGCCATACATCCCATTGAAGGCTCTACTGCCCCATTGTGATGTCATGGCCATACATCCCATTGAAGGCTCTACTGCCCCATTGTGATGTCATGGCCATACATCCCATTGAAGGCTCTACTGCCCCATTGTGATGTCATGGCCATACATCCCATTGAAGGCTCTACTGCCCCATTGTGATGTCATGGCCATACATCCCATTGAAGGCTCTACTGCCCCATTGTGATGTCATGGCCATACATCCCATTGAAGGCTCTACTGCCCCATTGTGATGTCATGGCCATACATCCCATTGAAGGCTCTACTGCCCCATTGTGATGTCATGGCCATACATCCCATTGAAGGCTCTACTGCCCCATTGTGATGTCATGGCCATACATCCCATTGAAGGCTCTACTGCCCCATTGTGATGTCATGGCCATACATCCCATTGAAGGCTCTACTGCCCCATTGTGATGTCATGGCCATACATCCCATTGAAGGCTCTACTGCCCCATTGTGATGTCATGGCCATACATCCCATTGAAGGCTCTACTGCCCCATTGTGATGTCATGGCCATACATCCCATTGAAGGCTCTACTGCCCCATTGTGATGTCATGGCCATACATCCCATTGAAGGCTCTACTGCCCCATTGTGATGTCATGGCCATACATCCCATTGAAGGCTCTACTGCCCCATTGTGATGTCATGGCCATACATCCCATTGAAGGCTCTACTGCCCCATTGTGATGTCATGGCCATACATCCCATTGAAGGCTCTACTGCCCCATTGTGATGTCATGGCCATACATCCCATTGAAGGCTCTACTGCCCCATTGTGATGTCATGGCCATACATCCCATTGAAGGCTCTACTGCCCCATTGTGATGTCATGGCCATACATCCCATTGAAGGCTCTACTGCCCCATTGTGATGTCATGGCCATACATCCCATTGAAGGCTCTACTGCCCCATTGTGATGTCATGGCCATACATCCCATTGAAGGCTCTACTGCCCCATTGTGATGTCATGGCCATACATCCCATTGAAGGCTCTACTGCCCCATTGTGATGTCATGGCCATACATCCCATTGAAGGCTCTACTGCCCCATTGTGATGTCATGGCCATACATCCCATTGAAGGCTCTACTGCCCCATTGTGATGTCATGGCCATACATCCCATTGAAGGCTCTACTGCCCCATTGTGATGTCATGGCCATACATCCCATTGAAGGCTCTACTGCCCCATTGTGATGTCATGGCCATACATCCCATTGAAGGCTCTACTGCCCCATTGTGATGTCATGGCCATACATCCCATTGAAGGCTCTACTGCCCCATTGTGATGTCATGGCCATACATCCCATTGAAGGCTCTACTGCCCCATTGTGATGTCATGGCCATACATCCCATTGAAGGCTCTACTGCCCCATTGTGATGTCATGGCCATACATCCCATTGAAGGCTCTACTGCCCCATTGTGATGTCATGGCCATACATCCCATTGAAGGCTCTACTGCCCCATTGTGATGTCATGGCCATACATCCCATTGAAGGCTCTACTGCCCCATTGTGATGTCATGGCCATACATCCCATTGAAGGCTCTACTGCCCCATTGTGATGTCATGGCCATACATCCCATTGAAGGCTCTACTGCCCCATTGTGATGTCATGGCCATACATCCCATTGAAGGCTCTACTGCCCCATTGTGATGTCATGGCCATACATCCCATTGAAGGCTCTACTGCCCCATTGTGATGTCATGGCCATACATCCCATTGAAGGCTCTACTGCCCCATTGTGATGTCATGGCCATACATCCCATTGAAGGCTCTACTGCCCCATTGTGATGTCATGGCCATACATCCCATTGAAGGCTCTACTGCCCCATTGTGATGTCATGGCCATACATCCCATTGAAGGCTCTACTGCCCCATTGTGATGTCATGGCCATACATCCCATTGAAGGCTCTACTGCCCCATTGTGATGTCATGGCCATACATCCCATTGAAGGCTCTACTGCCCCATTGTGATGTCATGGCCATACATCCCATTGAAGGCTCTACTGCCCCATTGTGATGTCATGGCCATACATCCCATTGAAGGCTCTACTGCCCCATTGTGATGTCATGGCCATACATCCCATTGAAGGCTCTACTGCCCCATTGTGATGTCATGGCCATACATCCCATTGAAGGCTCTACTGCCCCATTGTGATGTCATGGCCATACATCCCATTGAAGGCTCTACTGCCCCATTGTGATGTCATGGCCATACATCCCATTGAAGGCTCTACTGCCCCATTGTGATGTCATGGCCATACATCCCATTGAAGGCTCTACTGCCCCATTGTGATGTCATGGCCATACATCCCATTGAAGGCTCTACTGCCCCATTGTGATGTCATGGCCATACATCCCATTGAAGGCTCTACTGCCCCATTGTGATGTCATGGCCATACATCCCATTGAAGGCTCTACTGCCCCATTGTGATGTCATGGCCATACATCCCATTGAAGGCTCTACTGCCCCATTGTGATGTCATGGCCATACATCCCATTGAAGGCTCTACTGCCCCATTGTGATGTCATGGCCATACATCCCATTGAAGGCTCTACTGCCCCATTGTGATGTCATGGCCATACATCCCATTGAAGGCTCTACTGCCCCATTGTGATGTCATGGCCATACATCCCATTGAAGGCTCTACTGCCCCATTTGTGATGTCAGGCCATACATCCCATTGAAGGCTCTACTGCCCCATTGTGATGTCATGGCCATACATTCCATACAAGGCCATATGAGGTACTGAGGCCTGAACCAAATGGCACCTCTACAGGAATCTCACAGCCCAGCACTATATATATATATGTATATTTTTATGACAACCTCTAAATACCCGGTGCAACACTTCCTGTGCAGCTGTAACCAGCAGACAGATCTCTCTTTATTTAGAGGCAGGTTGCAAGGCTGTGAAACCAGACATCTGGCCTGGTGGAGACAGATGTGGTTCAAGCCAAAACAGAGAGAGATACCACCCACCCACCCTTGGGCCCACTAGTCACTCAACTGGTTTTGAAATGAGTCCCATTGTCTGACTCAAGTCTTCCTGGAAGGACCAGCTCCTTCATTCTTTCTATTTAGCAGCCCTTGTGCACGTCTCAGGAGAACAGCAGTGGGTTTATTGTCTCAGGTTCTCATCTCCTCTTCATAAGATCACACTAGAGAGACCACAGGTGGCATCCAAGTGGGTCCTGCCTCTCCAGCTGCTTCTCCTAGCAGGATGTGTCCCCTTAATGGCTGCAGCACCAGCCTTCCCATCTGTCAGGCATCTTATTCTTTCA